TCGAATATTTTTATGGTTTAAATAGAGCATCCAATTTTTATCGTAACACCCTTGTTTTCCTTATGAGAAGCTTTGAGAAATCATTCATAAGTTGAAATCAATTTATAAGTTTAATTCTTTTTTTTTTTTATTCGAATATTCTTATAGCCTAAATAGAGCATCCAATTTTTATCGTAACACCCCTGTTTTTCTTATCCTGATTCCTTGCTCTTTTGGCTTGCTTAATTCCTCCACACACATATTATCCCTCGTTCACACACTCACATATTACCATTATGCCGTTTGACATTTGCATTTCAAATGATTCTGCTTGTTGACTTTAATTAGCTGAGATTTGTTGCTGCTTCCTCACACCGCCCCCAAATCTTGCCCACATGCTAATAGCTTTTCCCCCCGCCCCTCGGAAAACCGAAAGAGGAGCTTTTCCAGGTTCTTTTACCAGTAATTGAACCAAAGGACTAAGCTCTGTTATTTACCTTCCATTTGCATAGTTGCGAATTCCCCGAAACGAGCTGGAAAAAAACATTGGAAAATTGTGCTCTTTCCCTTTTGGCGTTTTCCGCTTTGGTCATGGAAAGTCTCATTACCAGAGCAACAACCACAACGAATCGATTTCCTGGGCTGGCTTACCCCCAAACCGCTTTTCCCTGCGGCGAGCTCATACAGGTGGAAAATGCGCAAAAATTCATTGTGCAGAAAAAGTTTTCCTTTAAAAGAAAAAAAACCAAACAACTGTGGAATGGGCGGACTTCACCTGCCATCGGCTGTTGCTTTTTGCTCTTCCATGGGGGCGTGTTCGGTGGAAAAGTGTATTAAAATGTTGGGAAACGCTGTCTTCGTTTTCCCTACCACTTTTCCAGCTGTGTTCAGCTGCTTGGAAACAAACAAGGGGGACTCCTGGCCCCCAGCTTCCCCCTTTCCACCCAACAGCCCGGGGACTTTCCCCCTTTTCTCCGTTCTGTGGTTTGCTGTTCGGCAATAAAATTCTTTAAAATTAAGCATAAAATATTTAAATTCAAATTGTTTTAGCCAAACATGGAATGAACATTTTCGGCTGGCTTTAATGCACAGCCAGAATTTATGTATGCTTTTCCGTTTCTATTTAAATTTGCATTTTATTGCAATTTGTTTGATATTTGCCATTACTCGGCTAAAGCACATAAATTCCAGTTTCACTTTATGTTATTTTATGCATTTGCCTTTTATTACCCTCCCCCCGGCTATTTTCCGGGCAAAGACGGCTCCTTCAGCCAGTCGAAGGTATATCTCTGCCCATCCTGGCTTTTTGTTCTGGCTCACCAAATGATAATTTATGCAAATGTCTGTAGTCCCGTGGAAGAAGACAAAAAATCGCTGAGGGTTGCAACAAAAAGCCTCCCAATTTCGAGGAGCGGATCCATTTTCCATTTCCATTCTAGTTTGCTTTTCCTTTCGGCTGCCTCTTTGTGCTGACATGCTTTTGTCATTTATTTTGTTTATCTCCTTTTTTGCACTGTGCTCCTTGCATGTAACAAATTATTATTATGTTTCGGCCATTTTTGGCTGATCCAAGCGGTTCCCGGGGCCAGTAAATCACAAAAAGTCTGGGTTTTGCCCCTGACCTTTTTCGGGGCTTTCTTTTCTGCACTTGAGTAATGAGCTGCTTATCGAGGGGCCAAAAGGTAAAACTTGGCTGGTTGGTAAATGATATGACTTCATCTTGTTTTCGAAATGGTTAATGCTGAGCTCGGGGATCTTAAGATAACTATTGGCCCAGAAGCAGGACACTTTAAGGTTCACAAATACCCCTATTTTATTTAAATGCATAGTGTCTTAAATGTGCAGATATTTATTGAGTTCCAGATACTTTTCAAAATTCTATCTCACAAATACTCATGTGCTTGCACTCGCATTTTTCCCTCCATTACATGAAAACCTTTGCCGGAAAGTATTTAGGGGGCCTTTCACTTTCGCCCAGCATACCAGCATCTATCAATGGCACTTTGCCAAATTCCTGCATTAGTTTCGTTTACTTTTCAATTGCCTCGGCATTTCCCTTTTGCCGTTTCCATGGGAGACATTTCAACTGCACTAAGTAGCCAATTGACAACTACAAATTGAACATTTATTTTCCAGCTGCAGCTCAAAGTACAAGTGCTCCGGGGAAAGGGGAGTTGAGAGTAAAATGCTTTACATAGCCGTGTAGTGGGCCCAAAGGACTGAAGTGGCCGGTCATCAGGCTGGCGAAGTGAACAACTAACTGCAGGAACTTTGAGAAGATGTTTGAGCAGCTAAAATAATAGAATTTTCCCCTAAATTTGGCCAAAGATGCCTCACTAAGGCAAATAGAAGAGGAGACGCAGCTCCGGGTCCGTATGCAAATGTCTTAGACATGGGTGGATGACTATCACAGTCACCGTCGTCATCGTTCTTGAAGTTTCCCCCATATAACGAGCGGACGGGGGACTGGGATCCAGCCCGATCCCATTTGTTTATTTGTTTACTTTTTGCCATTTGCCTGCATGCGAGTTTCCCTCCACTTTGTCAGGGTTTTCCCCTATTCTTTCTAGTATTTCTGTAGTCGTCATTATTTTCTTGGTTTTTTTCCCTCTTCTGCCATGAATATTTTCATATTTTCATGTGACCACTTTGGGCTTCTGCCTGCGACTGCTTATTCCACTGGCTCCTTTCTTTATCCTGGCAATTGTGAGCAAAACTTTCGGCTGCTGGCTGCTTCCTTCCTCGGAGGTCGCATGTGTAGGACCGTGTTATTTAATAGGCTTTTGTGACTTGGAAGACGAGCACCAAATGGCTGGATGTCAAACAGTGGTACAGGTTCATAAGATACAAATATTTTTAGAAATATCTATAAAGATTTTATTTAATATAATTTTATAAGTTTATGTAAGAAGTTTAGTTATTATTATGTAATAATCGTAAAGTAAGAAAAACATTGGGATTTACTTTGACTAAATGACTGCATTTATTTAAAATGTCATGACAACGTGGAGAAAAAGACGTACAGCACATCAATACATGACTTTAACATAAATAGTATCAGTCGGAATTGTAGCTATTGGCATATAGCCATTATTCATTTCGATTTACAAATTCTAGATTGTCAGAGGTGGTAAGGAATTATGTTTTGGTTTATCAGGTCAATATTGATCCTACTAAGGATCAAAACACTTAAATATTAGAACTTTTTTTTATATATTTCTATTTTTTCATCAGGAAAATGGTTTTAATTAATCAATTCCATATACAAATTTTAGAGTGTTAAGGGGTATGGAAATATGTTTTGGGTTGTCAGGCTAAAACTGATCCTACTAAGGATCAAAACACTTAAGCAATGTAATTCCTTTTTATATTTATATTTTTCCATCAAGGAAATGGATATAATTAATGAATTCAAATTAAAAATTATAGAAATTATGTCAAGAGTGGTATGGAATTATGTTTTGGTTTGTCAGGTATTCGACCTTAGATCCTTAGGATCAAAATACTTATGTAATAGAATTGGTTTTTTATATATTTTTTTTCCATCAGGGAAATGGGCTTACAAGATTGAAAATAACATTCCACTGTCCCAAAATATCCTCTTTGGTATCAGAGGTCTCCTTTTCCCTCCCCGCCTCTCCTAATATATTTCCATCTCACCCCGGTGTTTGTTTTGTCTGTCTGGAGTCCTCTGCTTTTTGGAGTCGTCTACATGTGTTTGCCCCTTGCCGACTTCCTTGCAACCCCTTGTGGAACCCCGACCGCAACCGCTTTCCTTTTTGCTTCCGTTTGTTTGCACAGTGGCTGCTGTTTTGGTAATGCGTTCAGATTATTAAACATATTTTCTGATGCCTGACAAATGGCAGGACAAACGGTGGCGAAACTTTCGACGTGAGTGGCAGAAGAACGTAGTCTAGAGTAGAATTCGGGCAATTAAAAGAAACGCTAGTTACTTTAAGTGTTCAATAAAAAGCAGGAACAGGAGCTGGCTGTAATCGTAAGTAGGTCAGGCCATTAAAATTGCCACACCAGGCGAAACACAAACACACTCTGGATACACCCCGAAGGAGATTTATGGGGGTATTCGGAGGAGGAGGGCAGAAATGCGGTATCGTATATGGTTTCCTGCTCCTTGTTTAATCGTTAAAGGAATTCATGGTTTGTTTCTGGTTTTTCCCTCCGCTAGCAGCTCAAGTTTTCCTATGCGGTGACATACGGAAAAGGGGAACCCCACACATACCTGGATCGCAAACACACGAACTTGCAACTCTGGTCGATAGAGGAAGCCACCTGCCGTCGACGAGCACACACACTTTGGTTAACTCCCTCGACTCTCGCTTTCAGAAGTTGCTGCTAAATGCTTTCTGATTGTTATTTTTCGTGTTTTCCTCGGCTCCTCCTCCAGGACTGCGAAATTACAATTATTACACGGACCCAAACCCAAGTTTTCCACTTCTTGCAGTTCACTTCTTCTGCCTCAGCTGCTTTCCCTAAACTTTGGTTTTTGCCGCTCCAAATGCAAAATCTGGTAATGTAGGCGTGTTTAACACAAACTTAAGTTGTTCGTAATGACTTTGTAGCAAATTCGGTGGGGATGGAATCGGATGGAGTGGAAGGCGGATGTAGACCTTGGGAGAAACGGCAACTTAAGATGGTATTCTTAAAGCTCGCAGAAGGAATTTAATGAAAAAAGTTTGAAAAGGACATCTTGATGTAGAGGGACAAATTAAAAAGTGATGCGGCAGTTTTGCAATAGAAGCTAGCAATAAAATATTCAAAATGTAATTTATATAAAATCAAAAAATAATGTAGAGTCATCTTATAACAGATTTTCATAAGCAATACATAAACGGAAATCACATAAAAAATCTTCAAACTTAAAATACAACAAGACAGGGAGCGAAGCTAATCATTATTTCAGATATTCTTTTTAAAGAGATACTTATATTTATTTTCATAAACTTTATAAAAAAAACTTTAAAAAATTCCAATATGGTATTCCAAAACGAGGTATTGGTTGGGTAGCTTTGCTTTTATCCTCGTTAGCCCAGAAATCAATTTTACCAAATTTCTAAATTCAAATATAGGCTTGAAAACAATCAGTTACTTCTTTAATCCTCTGGCGTTCGTTCAAAAAAATTTCACTGTAAAAAACGCGATGGAGGAGGACCTGGAATTCCTTATCAACGCCCTGTCGGTGCCAAATACTCCATTGACTGAGCCGTACGACGAGGCACAGTTGCTGGAGATGCGTGAAGCCTTCAAGACACTGCAGAAACTCCTTCAACGCAGTTCCTTGCCCGTAGAGGCGAGTCTGCGCTCCATGCCGAGGTCAAAGGCCGGAGAACATACAAGCCGATTCGAGGAACGAGGTCTGCCTTCCATGCTTGCACTTGTGGGCAACGATTACGAGAGGATCAGCGATCAAAACAGTGGTACTCAAGGCTGGAAGTCGGCGGAAAGTGGAACCCGAACGTCGCCCATCATTTTAGAATGCGGGCTGAGGGAGAGACCCCTAAGCAGCAGTTCCTGGAGCGTCAGCGAGAGTCCCGATGTTGAAGACATGGCGCTGGTGCCCTACGAGGAACTCTGCAACGAGCGAAGCAGCTCGGAGACCACGCTAACCGGCCAGTCCTACTCATCGTCGGGCATCTCGATCAGTATTCCCGTCAACTTGGTCTGGAACAACAAGGAGTACAACGAGTCGCAGAGCACGGACAGTGAAACCACTCTAAAAGCGGACGGTCGCCGGTACTCTGTCCTAAATTAGGGTTCCATAACTCCTGATCATCAAAAGTAGTCCCCGAAATTCTAAAGATTCTGCTGGAACTTTTAGTCATGCGTGAAGATTTTTTAGGCCTTTCTCAATAAGTATAGGTAGTTTCATTTATTTTTTAGTAAACCGTAAATTAAACGTATTTGCTCCCAGTCTACCCAACCCATGATAATTATTTGGACATTTATCATATCCATTGAAGCTTTTAGAAGCTTTCCGCTTAGTGAAGCCGCTTCAACATACCCACTTCACTAGTGAAGCGCCTACCCAGCCAGTGAAGCGCCTCTCTATGCGATTCTCAACAAGTTTATCTGAGTGTGGATAGTACCGAGAGATCAGGGATCCACATCATCAAATTAGAACGCATGACCTGACCCCAGACACAGTTTTAATGAGTAAGCATACCAACATGTGCCTGTGACCCCTTGCTTAACCCTTGCCGGCCACTCTCGACGGTTGCAGTGAAACTTGTAAAAGTGATTAAAACGGAAATTTAATTGAAATGCGCACATTTGCGTAGGCATTTGCCCATTTCCGTTTGACTGGGCACGCAAACCACTCTCGGATGCTCAGATACCGGCATATAGAATGCCAAATGTTTGTCTACAAACAAATGGCCTGCGGTTATTTTGCATTGCATTGAAGTCCTGCGTGGTGTGGATGGTTCGAGGTCGGGAGATATATTTTTGAATTCTGCGTTCCTCGGTGTAATTTCAATATTTTCTGGTGTTTGCGTGCGTGCTGCAATTTCCTCTACTACCGAAAAATCTAATTTAATTTCGTATGAAATTTACTTTCTGTCCGTTTCCATTGCCGTTTTCATTTGTATTGAAATGTTTGCCCGGTTTGAACAGGTGAGGCCTCCGAGCAATTTGCTTTCGCTTTTCCTGCTTTTGATTTTCCCATATTGCCATCACTTTGAGAGTTCGTTTGTGTGTACTTTTTGAGTGTTTCCCTGACTTTTTGTCGAAATCAGGGTTGGGACACCCAGCCTCTAACCTGGGCTCGTATACGACCATTTATTGTTATGCATATTAAGCGTCGGCATGTACGGAATGGAATGCTGGAAAAGGAGTCGGCAAATGCAATAAAAATGTTGTATGCCAGCAATTAGTTTAATGGTCGATCTGAAGGAGGGATAAGACTTTCCTGTGGGAGAGAGGGTATTTAACGATTTCGGAAATGAATGCTTTTGGTTTTCTGTGCATTTTATGGTTTTCTATTGATTAAGGGAATTGCGCCGTTCTATGCGCTTCTCAATCAGTTTACTTCGCGTTGTTGTCTCATTCAGCATTCCTTCAGTTATTGTGCTCTTTTCAAGTGAACTTTCATTCAGTTCCAGACCCCGAACTCCGCCTTTCATCCGTTTAGTCAGCTCTTTCATTCAATTCACCATATTCTGGCACATTCCCGCTTTAACCCACCACTGCCCGATGTGTCTGCAGTTTGTTAGTCTCGCTCTTGTGGGGCGTGTAATTGCAAATCCAATTAATTTACGAACTAGTCACAGCAAATGTGCTACTAAGTAAGACATAAATAGCACAAGACTCCCCACTTTACACACGCATCCAGCAAATGTCTGGGCTTCTGTTCCAGAATTTAAAGTGTCTCGTGTTGGACTCAAGTGTGGATCTTCCATCGGTCTGGGATGGAGAGGTTCGAGTGCTTGACGCCGTAGGTTTTTGGAAGTGCTTCGTGTGCTCAGGTTGACAAATGCACAACAATTAAGAGAGTAGTTCTTGGGAATTTATGCTGACGAAGATGATGCCCGGGGCTGCCAGGGAAATTGAAAAGCCAGAGCTGGAGTGGGCTTCCTCACTCCCCTGGATCATTTCGGGTAGATGAACATCCATTTCGCCTTAATGCTTCCGTGGCGAGCATTGAAAAACCTGAGGAAGAGAAATTATGCTAATAAATCGCGGCGACACGTGTCGTTGTACTCCTGTTTCAGTCCCTTTCCCTACTAATGGACATGCGCCACGAAATATTATGCATTGAGTATTTTTCAAACTGCCACATTGTTGCACTGCTCCGGATTATTATGAACTTGGGCCTGGCACTCCTGCACGTGGTGTTTACACATCATTTACATAAAACGAGCAACAACTTTTTTGCAATTTCTTAACGAACAACGAAAGGAAAGCCGGCCCAACAAAGTTGTTAATTATACTTGACTGGACGAACAGAGCCCCGTCTTTATTTTTTTCCATTCCTTTTTAGGAAAATGTAAAAAAAGGTATTCGGTGCTCTGCTCACTCAGCCTTTGATAACGAACCGAGGGGTTGGGACTCGCCAGGACCTGCCCGCTTATGACGTGCTGGAAGAAACCATTAATCAAAGCTGCATCGCCTGGGCGAGTCTAGCACGGCAGTTTTACATACATTTCTCCATTTCTTTTTTACTTACCATCTGAAAGAGCCCGCTCTTTTAACGACTCCAAATGGAAAGCCGTTTTTACCAATGTTGATGTCGGTTGGTCGGTTCTTCGGTCGCGTGCGTACCATTTAGCAGGGAACACGGCCCTGAAACGGTTGCCAGATTAAACAATTTGAGGCCGAGCGGAAAAAATGTGTATTGCCTAATTGTAGTAATTAATGAGCTTAGTTTACAGTTCTGATGGGCTATGACAAACGAATTGTGGGGCTGGCGAAATTATTTGATGATTAATAGTGTTTTTGGATGAAAAAAAACTATAAATGAAACGGAAATAATTTATTAAATAAACAGAAACGGAAACAGAAAAAATGGCAGAAAATACTATACAATTTCGAAAAATGGCAAACCTAAATATTAGACTTGAAAATGTTAAGTCCCCCAAAAGTCCAGGATATAATACACAGACAGGTCAAAGGACGTGGGATCTGTGCAGAGCTTCCTGCTGAAAAGGTGCAATCCAAAAATTTAATTACATGCCCCAGCGAATCGTAAATAAAGCCAGTTGACGCAACCTGAGAGCCCACAGACAATGCCCAGTTGCAGATGTGGTACTACAAACAAATATTTTTAATAAGTGGAAGGCCCGAAGGGTTTCCGTCATCCACGTGCGTCATAGTAGTCCCGGCAACCTTGGGATTCATGGGGTATTTTTCAGAAATTGCAATAAAACGTATGGCTGCGCAATTGTGCTGCGGACGAGTAATTTATAAATACTTCGCCCGTCCCACGAACTGCCACTAAACAGAAAATCCTTTATTTTCCAATGATGCTGCTGTTGAGCCAAACTAATTTCCCGGACAAACATGAAACAGCCCCGGTTGCATCCCCTGGATAAACACACCCCTCGGAAAATGACAGAAAACAGGGGAACCAGGGATGCGGAATGTTGAAGGTGTGTGTACGTGGATCGGGGATTTTTATTTTGCTATCCGTCTGCGAGATTTTCGGTGGTGGCTGCGTTGCCATGGTGGGTGCTTTCCCACTGACTTTTCCCTATTGCCAAAGTCGCCTTTTTTCCAGGTCGCTTAGTTAATTTCCACTGCAGTGCAACGCGAAGCGGTGCATTCAAAATTAAATCCTCGACGGGCTATTTGTCATTTTTGACAGTTCAAACTGCTTTTGAGGGAGGGGTAGATCGACTTTTGAGCAAAAATTACGGCTTATGGCGGGACATTTATTTTCCTCCTTTATCCCTGAACTTTATATTCCCTGAGCGCCGCAACTTCTGTTGTCAACGCGATCTGCTGTTGTTGTTGGTAATTAGAGCTATCAGAAAATACTGAAGTAGCTGGATGGAAAACGTTCGGAAGTTTGGAAGTGAAATTTGAGAAAGTTCTGGAGGAAGAACCAAAAATTTGCTGGCAATTAATAAGCTAGGTGAGATTTAGCCTTCCTTCTTGAGTTGCTAGAATATTTGACTGACACTTTTAAATTCGTTTGGCTATTGATATTTAATGTTATTAATTATTTAGAAGCCTTCCTTGTCACAAACTTTTCTCAGCCACATAAATCTCTTATAATCCGCTTTACTTATAAATATTTGCTTTTTAATCTGCTCACATCACCGATTCAGCAGAAACAAAATACGCATTACGAAAATTCCCAGGGGGCGGTAAAAGATTAAAATCAAATCATCTCGTAAATTGCCACAACTCTTTTCTGCCCAATCCGCCACCAAGGATATTAACGCCTTAGTCCGCTTAATGTCCCCCCTGCCTAGATCACACAAAACATAAATCATGAAATATAATAGACCAGGCACAGACATAAAAAACGAAATTGAAAGCGAAATTTGCATTCAGCGCACATGACGAAATTCGCCTTTAAGTACATAACAATCAAAAATTATGGTTTTATGGGGCCGAGTGAAGGGTTTGGGTTAGGGTTCGGGTTCTTCCCCGGGATTAAGGAGCCCGGCTGTATAGAAGCCTGGCAACAGTTGCGAATCGAATCGAACGGGGGCCACAAATGCCATTGTCAGTCCTTGAGTGGGGTGACTTCCCCCATTAAAAAGTTTTGTCAAGTTAAATTACCAAAAATTGCAAATTGCTTGGATTAAACACGACGGCGAACAGGGACAAGGACATGGCCACTTTCACTTCCTGCCATTGGCCATTGTGTGGCCAAAGGATTTCATACACTCAATATAATTAAGGGCTCGAGCCTTGGGCCTCCTCCTGGCCGAAAACTTTGTGTCCAGGCAACAATTTTGGCAGTGCGGCCATTGTGTGGCCCTAGTTGCTGGCCAGAGAATTTGTCGCCGGGCATTCTGAATTGTATGTTAAATTAAATTTTACCACAGAGACCAGTCTGGTCGAGTCATTGAGCTCCTGCCCCTGTGGCTGGGTGGGATTGCTTGGTCGGCTTGTGGCATTAAGTTGTCAGTTTGTTGAGCCTGACAGATTTTTCATTCCCACGTTGGGGGGCAGAAGCCGAAGTTTGTTTGCCCTGTGTGTTCGAGGTCACAGATAGGCATATGTAGTTAATGGAACAATATATCACTTGGTTTTACATAAATAAATATAAACTTTTGTACATTTTGTGTAACCCAACTCACAGCCCGTTCTAATAGTATTATTTTCTTCTATTGCAGGTAATTTCTTGACAATTCCATCCGTTCCAAACCCAAATTAAGTGCGTAAGTTAAACTGTCTCAAGTGGCACAATCCACTGCAATCAGCCTGCTGCTGCTGTTACTTTCCTATAAATCAATAAAACAATGACAGAGCCTCCGAGAAGAGTCTCCTTGTTTCTTCGGCGGCTGAAAGTGCTTCGCAATATATCACTTGGCCATTCGGCTGATTGTCATCGCCTAAACGGCCAGCGGAGCATTTCATTTAACTGCCCTCCCGACCATCCCTGCGTATACGTATTGCCTACATCTCGCACTCCCTCCACGGCACACACTTACTTATGGTAGTTGTGATACTGGCGTATGTGGAATTGATGTCGAGTGCGGTCGCCAAGGAATAGGAGGCAGCGTTTCCATTTAATAGGCGCACATGAGACTCCCGACACATAAAAACCAATTTCGCGTAAGTGATAAAAATGCAATGAGCACTCGCCTCCAAGTCCCACACGATTGGGATTCTGATTGCGATTGGGATGATGATGATCATTATGATGATGACAATCATCGGCTGGTGACGCAGACGCCTATGAATTAAATTTACGATGGCACAGAAGTAGTTTTGACACATATATCTTAAAGAACATCGTGGCGCCATAAAAATCTGTGGCCAGCCTTAAATGGGAGCCATAGGATGGGATGGGGGGCTTGTGTTGTGTGGATATAACATAGCCTGTTTTCCTTTTAATTGTTTAATTCGTATGCCGACATCAGCAAGAGGCTGCTGGCACAATATTGAAACTATGAGCTAGTGATGAGCCAGTGTTCTAGATACATATATGTGGGTGACTCGAATGCAGGGAAAAATCTGAAATAAAATGATTTAACAACCATTGAAAAATTTAAAATCGTTTTATAACGCTATAGATCAAATACTCGTATCCTTTCACAGACTCTTTTCCTTAATGTTCACCCGTTATGTTAATAATAACCTATAGTTTTTCTTACATATTCAATTTTCTTTATTAAGTTTGGGTTTATAAGCGTTTTTTTTTAGTTCGGAAATATTTCTATGGCACCATTTCCAAAGTTAAATATTTAACTACATTGAAGCTAAGCTCTATTCGTTTTATAATCTTACCACTTCTTTAAAATAACATTTTTTTTAAATTTTCAACAGAACATGTTTGATAAATGGCCAAGACCTGCCGCCCTTTATCGATGTATTATCCCCGATTGTCGTGAGTATCACGCTGTCATGTCTGGGAATGCCTGGCTTTCCCATCCGATGCAGCTTTCAATCATCATCAATTTCACATAAAAGTGTCGCCCACACGACGCAACTTGCAGACGTCTTCCCTGCAGTCCCCATTCCCATCTGCAGCCCCATCCCGCTGCAATAGTCTGCCTTTGGCGACATAATGACGAGATCATATCGACAACCGGGAGTCGGAGTCCCGGAGTCGTGGCATTTTATTTTCAGCCTCTGCTTCTGTGTAGTCGTGAGAGTCTTGTCATTGTCATTGCGATGTGCCTGTCTGCTGTGCACTTTTCAAGTTCAATTTCAATCCCGGCTCTGGCCTCCAACCACTTGCAAATCAATCTGGGGGACAGAGGACATATAGATGGTCAGTCAGCCAGTCAGCCAGCAGTCTTCTCAGTTAGACATGGCAAATGACCGGCAGCTCGTTTTATTGTGCAGAGCCCTGTCATATTTCCTGTCTGCAAAGTGTTGGGCGAAAGTTTTATGGCCTTTTGATAGTTCCCATTTGATAAGGCCCTGTGCAGCAGGAGTTTATATTACAGGAAATCTCACGGCAGACCTGAGAAATTGATGAGTCTCGCGCAAAGTTTTCAAAGTGATGTGCGCAAAGTTTCGCACATGCTGCTTATGTTTCCGGTTATATCAGTTTGTTCGTATCTAATTTATCATTTACATCACACCGTTTAGTAATAATATCCCACGAAGCATTACAAAAATTATTGTAATAATTATTTAATAATCAAACAAAATATTAGTATATTTTCATTTTGTTTTGACTCTTTCTATAGAGTAAGAATTATATTAAATATTTTTTAAAATTCATAAAAAAGGTTTATTTCCGACATAATTAAAATATATTAATATAATTGGAATCATATATTTTGCATAAAAACCAATACATTTTATCAGTATTTTGATGAAAAGTGGTATTTAAATTATGTATTATTTCTGCTTTATTTTCTTTAGTAACCTAGGAACCTTAACTGAATAAGCTTCCGTTAAGAGCACTTGATTTATTGGCAAACTGGGAGTTTTATCGTTGCCCAAACCAAAATAGTATTATTTTATTTCGCTTTAAAACCACTCATTTTCTTGAGGTTCTAACAATTTATATTATAGAAAGTGGCATTTAAACATGTATTTATTTCCTTTTTAATTTTTTCAAATGCTTAAGCTGTGGTAGCAAAAAGAACTAGCCTACTCAATCAATCTGAACTACTTAACTGAATAAGCTGTCGCAAAGAACATTCGATTTATTGGTAACCGTGTTATATTTTATTTCGCTTTAAAACCACTATTTTTCTTGAGTTTCTTACAATTTATATTAAAGAAAGTGGTATTTAAACATGTATTTATTTCCGTTTTAATTTTTGAAAACGGTTAAGCTGTGTTAGCAGAAAGAACCAGCCTAATTAATCAATCAGAACTACGTAACTGAATAAGTTGGTTATATTTTATTTCGCTTTAAAACCACTAATTTACAAGAGTTTCTTACAAGTATTCAAACAAGTATTTATTTCCTTTTCAATTTTTAAAAATGTTTAAGCTGTGATAGCAAAAAGAATCAGCCTACTTAATCAATCAGAACTACGTAACTGAATAAGCTGCCGCTAAGAACATTCGATTTATTGGCAAACTGGGTGTTTTATCGTTGCGCCATCCACGCCTCGGGCTGCAGACAACTGTCAGCAAATTCCGGGCCAACATGAGCCCTAACAACTATAATTACCCGGCCGACAATCAGCCCCCCGGTTGATGATGGCTCAATCGAAGGCGATTCAAGGCGTTGCCAATTCTGCAATCGATAGAGCTTTACAGGAAAATTGACACATTTGGTGAAACGTTGAAATAGATTCGGGTTCGAGTACTTTTTTGGCCCGCGGCGAGGGGCGTGTGTTTTACCCTGGCATAATTGAAATTGACATATTTCATTGTCGGCACGCTGCTGCAATCCAAATTGCCAAAGTAAATTTTCAATTTTCATCAAATTTGGTTTGTTTTCTTTGGAACGGGAGAGAAGCGTCCGCATCGTCATTGATTTGCTTTGATTTCGGGATGGGACTCGGATTTTGATTTCCATTTCAACGCCCGCTGTCAGTGCTTTTGGCCTTTATTTACCATTTTGCTTTGTTGTAAGCCGCCGCAGGGGGCGGCTGGGGAGAAAGGGGGCGTGGGCTTAGGCCTGCAGCTTTGTCTGTCTGTTGCTAAGCGCCTGCCACGAGTGTCCGTCCGTCACTTTCCAACCTTTCTCCCCCCCGAATGGGCCATCAACTTTTTGTGCGTCACACGGATCCAAAAACGCCGGAGATTTTTGGCAGCTTTGAACGGATTAGCCGCCCGTGGAGCGATTCTCACCCACGACAATGGTGATCAACGGCCCCGGAAAGCTTAAGGTTTTTCTTAAACCATTCAAGTAACTTTTAAAGCACAGTATAGCTAAACTTCTAAATTTAAAACCTCCGTTTCAGTGCCACCATAAAATGTTCCAATTTAAAGCCTGCGAAACAATCTGAACTATATATCAACGGGCACCTTTTGTTCACTTCACTGCTCTACTTTTCCCCGCCGGCTGCGACCCCAAAAAGCCCCACCCCATCACTTTCGCAGTCCATAAATTACAATACCAAAGGAGGAGAATTACAATAGAGCCAGGTATTTGGGTCAATTTTCATTGTCTTTGCTGTGAGCTGTTTTTATTTCGACATGCAAAACAGAAGTGGCGCAAATTTAAGGTTGCTGGGTATACAACAAAACTGTTGCATACCGAGGGGCGTACAGAGCGAGCGGTGACTGTACCGTTAAAACACAGTTAATGAGATACAGATGCACTCCTTCAAGATGCAAAAAAGCAAGTGCACAAAATGAATGCAAGAGGTACAGTCCCATGATATCCTGCTTTCGGCAGGATGTTCCACTTTTGTAGCGTAGAGTTCGGAGACCTGGTTCTAGGTACTGGTTTTTTAGTACCTTGAAGCCCTTTGTCTGCGCCACTTGTGGAAACTTTTTGAGAGTATTGCGTGTATAAATTACTACAGATTTTGAGGTCCTGATATCTTGTCTTCCTACTCTTTTTGAATGGAGAGAATGTCTGGTGATTTAGAGAAGTGCAGGAGATATAGTCCTTATCCTATTTTCGACTCCCTCGTTCCTTAAAGGTGGTGAAAATTAGAGGTACAGGAGGTAAAGTCCTTATCCTAGTTTCGGCTGCCGGTTACACGTTTATAGTGGTTCATATATGGATCCTTAAAGTCAGTGAAAAGTAAAGGTCAAGAGGTAAGTCCTATCTAGTGTTTTGTGTATTCCTTGTTGCGTATAGATGGTGAACGGCAAAATAGGTATATTCCTTATCTTTTCTTCGGCTGGTGGTAACACCTTTTTAGTGCTTTCTGATTAGTAGAGTTCCAAGAGGTATAGTCCTTATCTTATTTCCGGCCGGTGGATCGTCTTTTCAAGTGTTGATTTCAGGGCCTTGATATTTCTGAATAAAGTCCTAATCCCCAAGAAGATCGCTAGACATCGTGGCTATTGTTCGGCATGGAATAAACTGTATGCATATCGTTTAAAGTGGGTTGATTCTGAGTCTGGTTCTTGATGGAGTGGTAGTCGCAATAGAGTTGCTGGGCCTCGCTCTTAAAGTTGTTTTTCATGTCGTGTTTGAGCTGCTTGATCAGCCCCAGGCGATAGTTGAAGTTGTCCTTGAGGATTGTCATTTTCCTCTTGTACTCGGCCTTGGCGGTACGCTGCAGGATGGCTATGACTACGGATCGGGGCGGTCTTCCCGACGATGTGCTGTGACTAATATACGACTTAAAATCAATATGTAAAATGATTAAAAACTTATTTTTTCTTACGTAGATGTGGATAGGGAAGTGGCTTTGCCGACCTCTGAGAGCATTTCCTTCCAGGATTTCCTTCGCTGCTCCTCCTTTAGAATAGCTTGAGCTTCCTTTGCGTTCATGTCATCGGTTAGTTTCTTCCTTACTTCCAGGGCCTGAATACCACTGAAATATTCTTCCATATCCTTTTTGATTTTGTCCCTCGGCTGGGTCCTTATATCCTTTTTAGTAGGCTTTACTGCAGTTCTTATCGAGTTGGTTGCAGTTCTTGTTTCCTTCGCGTTTTCCATTTTCTCCTGAGACGCCAAAGAAGTGCTTGCCATCGCTGCATCTGGTTTTTCGTTACTCAAGGTTTGGAAGATTGGTTCAGGCTTCGGAATGGTTTCCTGTTTCCTCGATTCATTGGTTTCGTTAAGAGCTCTTTTTTCGGGCTTTTCTGGAATACTCTTCAAAATTTCGCCGCTTTCCTGATTTTCTTTCTTGGGATTCTTCTCGTCTTCCATAGTCTCTCCTTTGGGATTTTTCTGTGATTCTTCTGCAAGGAACTGGCTAGATGGAAAGGCTTTTTGGGACTTTTCTTCAACTTTTATCTTTCTGCTCGATGCCGCGTCCCTTAACTTTTCTTGGCTTGGTACCTTGGGTTTCTTCGGAATAATCTTACTAGAGGCCTTGCTTACTACGACACTATCTTCCATTTTTGCAGATACTTCCATTTTTGCTTCTTGACTTAGTTCCTTTGAATCCATCGAATTAGTTTTATCGGTTTCCTTGTTCATTTTGATGTTTCCTTCCTTGGCTGCAGGAACTTTAACCGTTTCTTCAGTTTTACTTAACTTCTTTGATTCCTTAGATTCGATTTTCTCAGTATCGTGTAGTTTTATATCTTTGTGTGTTACTTCCGGTGATTTTTCTTTAGCTTGGTTTTGTTCCAAATTGTCCATATGTGATTGCTTCTTAGAGTTCTTGAACCCGTTTAACTTTTTCTTGTCAAGATTCATTTGTTCAAGTGAATCCTCAGAGTCTGAAACATTCAACAAATACACCTCCTTGTGTTCACCGTGTGCACTTGCTGGTTTCATCTTGTCTGCTTGTGTTACGTTTTGATTTTCCAAAATTTCAGTCTCTTCCATTTTGCAGGTCGAAAATTTGTGTATTTCTGTGTTTTGTTATAGGACCCGACTGGTTTCACATTATTTGATAACTGACTGAAATTTTGGTTGGCAGTTTAAGTATAAGTTCAAAGGCTAATTTGACCCTTTACTTTTTTCGAACAGTAAAATAAAAGGCCTTCTGTGTTGAAATCTTCAAAGCTGAGACAACTTTTGTTTTTCAGCCCTAGGCATTTGGTATCTGAATCAGGGCACGAAAAACATTTGCCATCTACAAAAGTTTCCTTTCGAGCGCCTCTAGCTATTCCATAAATATATAAAAGGCAAAAGAAACATAAACATAAACAAAGCCGGACAGCATTCTTATCGCCTTCATTTATTATGCAAAGTTTGCTTGCCTCTGAAATTTTCCAGCTGCATGCAAAGGGCCTAAACCCGATTTAAGGCCCGGTTTGAGGTTTGACCTGGGATCAGGGTTAATCAAGGAACACATTCATCAAATTGGCACGCAACACGGACACGGCAAGCAAAGCCACAAAAATGTTTCAAATTTTTTTGTAAATAGTGAGAAAATGTTTTAAGCATGTTTTTTTAAACATAAGAAACATTTACAACTTACATCAATTAAATTTATACTTAAACATTGCATGAAATACTTGAGAAATTTTCATTTCTGACGGCATAAACTGGGGCTGTACAATTTTAATAAGTTTTCTTTCGAGGTAACGGCTGTTCCTATATCTAATTCTGAAACCCCTCGTACTCCACTGCCACATTTGCTTCCTCCATGACTCTCTAGTTTATAATGCAACATTTGCGCAACGAGAACTGTTTTTTTTTGGTGGCAAAGAAATGGGTTTTCCGTCTAGACAACTGAAGGGCAGGGAAATTGGGGGCTTGAACTGTTTCTGGTGATGCGGCAATTTCGCCCCACGTATCCGTCTGGAGCAATTGTGTGTGGTCTGAGATTTGGAATACAGTCAGCTGGCGGCTTTGGGGGCCTTATGTGGCTTAGAATGGCCCGAAGGAACATGGTCTGCATGGCTAATAAGCCGCTGCAGTCAGGATTGGAATACGGGCGAATACGTATTTCAATATACTGGGAAAAGGTAGGCCTTAACATTACCATAACCGATAAATTTAAAAACTTGTGCCTTATAGATGAATGAATTATAAACAAAATTTGAGTCCAGAATAATCAGAAATAAAATTTACATCATACAAAGATTTATAAAAATCCAAATGAAAAGTTAAAAAAGGATAAACACTAAGGGAAAATAATATTTTAGAACCTTTTCACCTTCATTTAATACAGACCAAAACATATTTATGGGATTTTATCCCGCAAGAGCTTGAAAGTGTTTAAGTTTTCTGCAGTATTTCCTCGTTGTACTTATATCATCACTTTTTTGGAACTCCGGCATTCTCCTTTGCTCTGCGATTAGCTTGCACATTTTGGCCGCCACACTGACCGCATTTGGGGCCGTACCCCCAGGATTCTTGCTCCACCCAATCAATGGGAATCAATGTGCCAATGAACTCGTCAATGAACTCGTTATCAACGCTCAGTGGCGACTAATGGAGCGGGTTTTCCAACCGTTTTCGACATGCGAGCACGCGAACTGAAAGTTTCAATTGCCGTGCACCGCATGCCACGCCCCTTGCCTGTCGGCGCCTTTGCTTTGGCGGATCACGGAATTATTACAATTATTATTATTATTTTTCTTGTGCTGTTTATGCATATTTCGGGTCACGCACGATGCGGCAAACTGTCAGCCGGAAACGGAATTGATTATCGGCGCTACCGAATCCGGCTTTTAGCGGTTCCACTCCCTCAAAACTCCTTTTTTAGACCCTTGCTACAGGGTTTTTATCTGTTTGCGTGTCATGCTGTCGTTTATATTGATTCGGCGGCATTAAATGACTTAATTTGGTCCGTTGTTAGGTGGAAAATGCAGGAAATATCGTCTAGAGTTTCCCAAAGCGAAACAAAAATTGTACCGTCAGACTTTTCTACTCAAGGAAAATATAATATAATATAATCACAATAATTATATTTATTTTTAAAATGTAAGATCTAGGAAGCTAGGAATCTGCTTTCCTTACTTTTGTAAGTCTCTCGGCAAAAGGTCTCATTTCAGTTTTCAAAATTCCCTCAAAATTATAACGTAAGCTCTTTGGCTGATCTTTTTAAATATCAAAATGACTGACAATAAGGCGTAAGTTAAGAGCAGGCAGAGAAGAACCAGAGTTAGGCATTTTGTGTCTTGGCCATGTATTCTCTTCCTTTGGCCTTAACTCTGGCCTTTTTCGGCCAACGTGGCATTGAGCAACATCCTCTTTTCCTATCTTTTCTCTTTTGGACCTATTTCTTTATGAAGATCGTCGTCCCGAGGCCGTCAACCTGGGATCCAGTTCAGCACCGCCATAGGAACCCCGGAAACCAAGCGCAAGATGCTACTCTATAGACGTCTATTGAGCCGAGATTTAGCTCGGGATGGGAAAAACACCCAGGAAATCGCACGGGCAAGGAATCGGAGGCTTCAGGAGCAGGACCAAGGAAGGTTTCCAAAGTCCTAAGGGTACCCATATTTGGTTGCCATAAGAGTTTACGTTTCCGCATTCAAGAAAAAGTCTTGTTGATTTCGGTCTTATTTAGATAAATTTGAAATAAATTGGTATTGATATTTTCGGTAACTACCATTTTTCGTATATAAAGGGCAACTCCAATTCGAATAAATTTAATTTGTGTTACGTTCCATTCCGGCAACACCGGCATTCGGTGAACGAAAACAATTTTGTTTAGCCAGTGCACTTTTTGCGGTTTCAACAGTTTATAATAAAGTGTTTGCCAGACACACAAAAACAATCCGAATAAATAACAGCGGCATCCAGTGGAGTAAGCTTGGAGCATCCCCTTGGTGGAAAAGATAAACACAATAAAAACAAACCGTCGAGTGGCGCAGAGGCTTTTAATTGCCATCAGGCGCCAACTGTTACCATTTGTGAACTCAGTCAACTTTTATTTATTTATGTAAATTTGTTTTGCCTTTTTCGGAATGCACAATATTTGTCGCAAAATTGGCAGAAGTCGAAACTTCGGCCGTTTTGGAGTCGAAAACACCAACAGTTTGATGGCTGAAAAAACAAATTGAAATGGTTTTGACAATTGGCGCGGCATCAGTGTAAAAACTGCGATGGCTCATGGCCTAGCTAATTGGGAAGTCCGTATAGATCCCCGGAGAAGGGACAACTTTTGGCCATTTGCGGCATTCACTAAACACGACAGTTGTTTTGGGAGCCAGAACAGAATTTTTATTACGTGCTCTTAGTGATTCTCACGTTTTAGCTTTACAGCCTGACAAAGGGGTGTTATACGCTCAAAGGACATTGTAGTTTTAACTTTATGAAATTAATTACTGAACTTGTATATAGATAAAAACTTTAGCGACGTATTGAGAACACCTTGAAGTTGTTGATGGGCAACGCTTCATTCTCGGAGAAGACCGCCTTCTCGATCACCGAACGAGGACTGCCCTTGTGCTGCAGCCAGTATTTCCTGGTAAAAAATGTAAATTAAAAATATGATATTAAATATTTAAATATCATTCTTACATGTCAGTCATTTGGTCCAAGGATCCTTCAAGCATTCCCTTGACTGTTCCTTGAATAGTGTTCATGCACCAACCAGTTATTCCCAACTCCTTGGCCTTCTTTTGAGTGTGCTAGATATTCAATAAATTCTAAATAAAAATAAGATACAAAATATTAAATCAAGAGCTTACCTTGCGAAAGAAGACACCTGAAAAGTTATGAATTTTAAATAAGTTTTTGGTTTAAGTAGTGAAGAATTATCTTACCCTGCACATGACCAAACACTTCAAACTGGCAACTAAAAATTTGCTCACCCTTCGCAGCTTGTGGAACACTTTTCGGCGATGATCTCACCAATTTTGGAGAGGTCAATTTGGACTTGGTAATTTTACTGTTCATTTTTAAGAATGTACTTTTTAGGCAAACTGAATTTTCTTAGTGACTTGTTTGATTATAAATCATAGTATAGTTATAACTACCAGTTGAACTAAATTTCTAAGGTATATTGTGGATTGTTAAAGTTTTCCTAACCTTACCATTCCTGCGAACTCGTCTTCCATTAAAATTAACAACAATTTTTCACGGCAATTTGACAGCGCTGATTCTTCATCATATCGCCGAGTACTCGAACACTTTTCCGCTGGGGGTGAAGATGCGCTTTCCATGAGCTTTTCCTTTTACCACTTCCGGTTCGTTAAGTTTAACGGCTGGCCACGGGGAGGACTCCGGAAAAATCCAAAAGGTGGCCAGAGGAGCAGATGACGCACTGGGTTCGCCGAGTTCGCCGCCTCAGTGAAAACTTCAATAAAACGTTTGACGCCGGAGGCGAACTGACATTTTCCATTAAGTGCAGACAGCATCCGAAATACAAAAAAAAATGGAAACACCAGAATGCCGGCAGCTCATTTGTTAGGGGTATGGGGATGGGTTCGGGGGAAAAGTTTTATATTCCTGAGAGTTTTGTGGTGTAGTCACGTGTTGGTCGTTCTTTTTGTTGACTGTTGATTATGATGATGCCCCGTGTTCGGGTTGCTCCAGCCTCCAGTTTCTAATGCGGCCCAGTCACGGCAGTCAACTAACCGAGAGGATCCGAGTAATTGAAGCTGACCAAGTTCTCCTCGGCTCGGCCATCATCAAAGTGCCATCAACATCTCCCTCAAGGATGTGGCAGCTCCTCAGCTTCTTTCTTTATCAGTTGCAGCAACTTTTGCTACAATAACATTTACTTTGAAAATATTCGCAGAGCCCCGGCTTTCATCGCTTTTCCACTGCCGTCAGCTCTTTGGGGACATCTTGAAGTGTTGCCAATGTGGAAAAGTAATCAGAAAATATTTTGTCAGCTTCAGTTGCACTGGCTGGCGAAACTTTTCACTCGCCACTTAAAGTGCTCCAGCCGAAAGTTGAAACTGAAGAGCGGCACTCAAAAAGCCGCAGTGTTTTCCACCAACTTTAGCTCAAATATTGGATTAGCAAATTGACGTTTATGCAATTTGATTTACCTACCGCACCGGGCAAATTAAATTTCCAGCCTGCGGCGGCTTTTCGAGCCATTTCACAGCGCAAATTCGTTACAAATTGCTGACACAATGGAAATTTGCATAAAATTTCCATATGCATTTGCCGAAAGCGAAAGCGAAAGGACAAATTTGGCAGGGTTGTGATGGGTGGGAAAGGTGCAGGATTTATGAGCAGTCGGGCGGGAATTCCCGGGTGAGGCATAAATTTAATGGCCAAAAAAAAAAAAGTAGCCCAGCCAGGTGGGGTGGACCAGTCCGAGGTGTAAACAACGCTCTTAATTTGCATTCGCCGGGTTAGCAGTTAATTTATTTGCAAGTCGCTCTAAAAAAGCCGCAGTGAGCCGGCAAACTTCTTTCCGCCGCCCCCGAGTTCTCAACCAATTTTCATTAAAGCTTATAAATTGTTGTTTATGACCCTCTCACGCCGCGGACATCCAAAGGCCCCAAAGGGAATCTCTCTGTCTGGGCCTTTGAGTTCATTTCATATTCATGGACGCGCCGAATTCACCGAAACTCCATCTTCCGATTTCTGCAGTTGGTCCTTTGTCCCCGGTCCTTGTTTTTGCAACCGTTAATAAACTTTGGCAATTACCCATGGCTGCCTGATGCCGTAATTTACTGGGATTTGAGCCGGCAAATCGAGACAGCAAGAGATAGGGAAATATCCGAAGATAAGACCAAGTTTTCACTTTCGAAACGAGGCAGCTCTTTGATACCTTTATAAATTCCCCTATAGTTTCAATAGTTCCCTTAGCTTTTCCTGTTTACCTGTTCTTATCCATTAAGCCATCAGACTTCAATACCGTAAAGCGGAAAATATGTGCGGGAAAAGTGAAAAAGTTGTGACAGAAAACCTGCCTCAATATAATTGCATTACTCGTGGCTGTCGCAGGTGAAAAGACGAGAAAACAAAAATTCAAGAAAAGGTATTCACACACACTTCTTTTTATATATATCGTAAGCCACGAGGACCGCAGGACCGCAGTGAGACCACAATCCTCACCTTGGCAGGAGATCCCAGCTCGGTTTTCCCAGCAAGACGACTTTTCATATTTTCCCCAGCCTGTCAAGCCGTGAATAGAGAGCTTTTACACAGAAAAAATAGTAATGGATACTTAAAGTTGTAAATAAAGAAATACGTTGGAAAGTAATTTATGGTTATACTACAGAGTAATATTTCTGTAATTAAATTTAAAAATATTATAAAAGGTGTACAATTACTATTATTGGTATATTACTAGTATTTCTTCTGTGTAGCCACACAAAAATCGAGGGAGCTCTTTTCCTTGGGGCTGGCAAATCCTTTTTCTTAACCCAAGCGTGCACATACTTCAAGTGTGCTTAACCCACACTTAGTCTCTGTCTGAGGAACTCCATCCCATTCCCGCCCGCTAACCCGTGAAAATCTTCCATGTTTGATGTGGTCCCAGCACCACAAATCACCAGGGCGGCAGTGTCTGGAATTTATGCGCCTTCTTAGGAAGCTCTGTTCTATATATATATATACATTAGTAGAAGTGTGAGACTGGCGGTTATGTCTGTGATTTGGGCCCGGCCACGCCCTAATCTGACACTGATGTAAGCCATTCTGTTGGGCGGCGACTACGCATTCAGGCGAAACGCTCTGAGATGCGATGAGCTGGGCCACTTGGGAAACCCACTTGGTGGAGTGGAAACCTTGGCCAGTCGTCACCCGCGACAACCCAGCCAACTCGGTTCAGTCCACTAGCTTTTCATATTTTCACATTTTCCCATTCATTTTTCATCTTTCCCTGCCAACCTCACTTTCATATATTTTTGGTTTTTTCGGGTCTTTTGAGTTGTGTAAATATTTTTACAAAATTATTTTACGCTTGATTGGAACGTGAAACGGAACAGGAAATCACTTATGACATTTTGCCCTTTTTCTGGTGTGACTCTATTGATTTTTGATTTAGGGTTCAGTAATTTTGTGGGCGACAAAATGAAGTGAAAAAGAAGAAAATCCAAGAATATACAATTTTCTATCATTTAAAGCTTATAAAATTAAAGTTTTTAGGTTTAGTTTCTCATAAATGAGTTAAGTTTCTAGTGATAAAGCATTTCAGCCCTGATCAATATTATTGTTAAATCATATATCGCCCATGATAAGCTATAAAAGCTACCGCGAAATCGATTCTTACTTTGTCAGACCATGTATGTCTAATGCCAAAGTTTACTACATCAAGTTATAGAATTCACAAATTATCCGCTCTCAAGTGCCGACTTTGGCATCATCTTGTGCAGCTTGTTGCCGGCTACAAAGTCCTTTTTCCACTCTGCCCCCGCTGTTTGGCATGTTTCGAGTTGCTACCAGGATACAAGGTAAGTGAATGTGTGTCCAGGCGAATCTATCCTGCAGCAGGGCCGTAGAATAAACTGATTGTAACTGCAATCAGTTAGCAGACAAAGCAACAGAACTCGACTCGAGCCAACTACAAAGGCGACGACTGTTTGCCAAGTTGTAATAAAGTTTGGTAAACAAGTTGCCCCACACACTGCGCCAGTCGAACACACAATAAGCAGCCCGTAAACCGAGAAACCCAATCTAGGG